TTTATTCGCGATGACAGTTAATTTTTCGCGTGGTTTCTTTGAAATGACACAATTTAATGAAATTTACCATTCGAACTACAGAATTAGTTGTTGCTGAGGTACTCTAAAATGATGACTACCGTTCATACGAGAACAAAGATAAGCTCCAAACGATGGGCTGGATTACTTTTAAAAACTCATTTGTATTTACAGCCGTTGAATGAGGATAAAGAACTACACTCAATGCCGAAAACGGTGCCACTGCACTTACTCTTAACTCACACTACATNGAGACTGGTCATAGGCATACTCGGCGACCAAAGCACGGACTGATGAATATTGACAGATATCTAATTTGCTTATCGAATATACTTTTAAAGTTAGGTCTACAATACCGTCTCCTTCCTTTATTATCCATCAATTTTGATTGGTGCCAGTGCTTTGTTAATACCACCACAAGACAGCAAAACCGCTGTGGTACATTTTCATTCTCACCCCTTTCTGAGGATAAACAGGTTCAGTGCATGAAAAAACGAAGCTAGGGTTAACAAAAGAAAACGATATTCCGAGAAACTGAGGTCCAAACGTTTGTGCTTTAGGCGAAATCCGAAATCCTTTTGAGTAACAAGAAATGAGTAAGAAGATCGGCCGAATCATTGCCTAAATTGTGCTGGGAAAAGGGCTCTCATTCCAACCAGCGTAAACACCTTGTTCTCGTTGGATCAGATTCCATCAGCCTCTAGATTTTCACTGCAGATAAGGTTGCATTTATGCATTATTTTCTTCGATAAATGATGACATTTTAAAAATTCCGTCGAAGCATACCTGTGTACATTAATATCTGTATATACATATGTTTTATTGAAAATTTTTACTGTCGTTATATGTAACTATATGGTCACTAAAATGGTGTCCGCAAGGACACCAGATAGTACTGATTAACATTTGTGTTTATCAAAACTGTTCATCGAAGTGGCTTACTTTTCCCGGACATGGGTTTGCACTTTGCCTATGCATTACACTAAAATCCATCAACTGCGTTTACGTTCTACTGGTTGTCTGTGAGGCAAAAATGAGCGGTCCACCTGTACCCCAATGGCAGTTTGTGTTATCTGATCCGTCTCCGAACCTCCGACCTTTTTAGGTCATCTGATTGCATGAATTCAAATTTCTAATAAATCAAGCTAGCCGCCAGTACAACATTGGAACCTCTCGACCCACGCTGCAAAGAACCCATAATCGATCATTCCGAATATGACGGGTAAAGGTAGATTCGGAGCAAGCCAAGGGACTGCGGGGTTGTCAGGTTTACTGACAGCAAACGATAATGCTGTGTATAGTACAAAATAAAAGACAGCACCCCAAGTATGCGGTAACAACCGGAGAAAGAGATCGCCATTTAGGTTGTTTCTGACCCGTGATTCATTCGAGACTGCATAGACCTGGATTTCCTCCGTACATGGTGTTCTTGGTTTTCGATTCGACCGGAATCTACGTGACGCCTTTAAGGGTAGAAACCGAATTACCTGTTCCGGAAAGATGAAATAGCTTTATTCAATAAATAAGTGAATGTTCGAGGTATCTGCCAGAAGTGGATGCAGTTAAATAGTTCACAGGTTTGTGCTGCCCAGTAAAATAAAAGGAAACCCACAAAAACAAAACTCTGAAACACCATGGTGTTAACAAGAATCAAGTAGAATCTGACAGAAGCATTCATCGGATCCAGTCATTCACTTCCCAATCAACAAACCTTTAAATCGATCACATTGCGGTCGATAGAGCCATGGTGCCGGACGCTGGGTAGTTCTTGTGGCCAAATCGACAAACGGCAATCGAGCTGCTCGTCCACGTGAGAGTCCACGATTGAATTCACATGCATCAGCCACTACTGCACCGTAGGCAGTTTGATCGGCCAGTCGTTGCAGTAAGTTGGTCGGGCAACCATGAATCACGGGGGTATCACAAGCAGTAGCGTGCTGAGTGGTTGTGGCGCTGCCCAGATGGACATATCGGCTGGACATGGGTTCGCGTGACTCAGACGGGAAAGTACAGCGGGAATCGCGGCGTGAACCTGAGATTCCGGATCACTCTACAAACAGGTAAAGAATAAAGGAGATACAAATAAGTGAGTTGAAAGGCCCAGCCAGAGGGTAACAATAGACTGTGTTAGAGAATCGATCAAAAAGATGGACCATTAGTTCCACTCATTTTGGCGAACAAAAAAACATTTCATAGTGGTTTTGACAAACTTCCGTTAGGATGTCATTAAATTTACACACCAAAAATTTGGGGAAGCTTAATTTAGGGGCTTTGAAGCACAAAGTCGCTAGATGTATAAACACTCAAAAGAACCAAGTAACGCGCTCATCAGTCTGACAAACATGCATATTCCGGCACGAGCCGTCGCAGGTTCGATGATGATTGATGAGAAAAGCAGGATATGGGGTTGCTGATTAGATGGTTTGCTGAATAAATGAATATGAAGTCACACGCATGTCTAACGAATGGTTCAATGATCATAAATCAATACCACATTGATAATTTTCTACTTGATGAGTAACTGGTCCGCCCAGCTGTTCCGTAGCTTATGCGTAAGTGAGTGTCATACCAGAACCAATCTACTCTCGCCCAAAGATTCGTACGACGGTTTAGGGCCGAGAACGTACCGAGTGACCATACTCATTAAAATGGATAGGAATGGGTTGTCAGGGTAATTTTGTTTCTTGCTTCTGTGCCACTTCCAGGGTATTCGAAAGTGCACCGAATGGAGAGTGTCTTGTTCTTCTCATCTGATCGAAATGTCGTTTGGTTATACCGTTATTTTACCGAACACTATATATGACGTCCCCCAATCGGCTATCCCTGATATTCACTGCTTTATGCGGTTTGAAAATCGAGGATATGAACTCTTTCAATGGAGATACCTAGCCTTGCAACGTAGTCTGTTAAAATCGTATATTCGTGGGATACATGGAACCTAATTATATTTACCGACAATTGTGGGTTTTGGCTAAAGCTTCATGGGAAAAGTTGTAGACGGTTCCTTCTGGTCTAGTACAGGCTCCAAACGTTTCTGTCGAAATGGTATTAAAAAGGACTCCGAAGAAAAAATGATTCTCCTATGCTACCGATATAAAAAGACAACATGATCGAAGATAAAATGGTTTGTGTAAAAACCGAGTCGGAGTCTCTGCAGAAGGAAATGAAAAAGGAGCAGTTCATGGATTAGACTGACTATAGATGCAGTGCCACAGAGGTGTTCGGAAATTTACTCAACATTGTTGAGTTTATCATCAGTAAAAATATCGCCTCCTCTGACGTGGTTAATGCTGATAAATGATGAGTAAATTACCACTTAGAGTTATAATAAAGGAAAAATCGAGGGAAAGCTTTTGGAGTGGGAGAGAAGCAGGTTTACACTCAAACATGATTTGCCTGTGATTCTGAGTCGGAGAACCACCAGAATGCGAATAACAATAGCAAAACAAACAAAGCTCTAAACGACTAAAATTAATCCCTTTTCCGCCTCCATATTCACCATAGGTCTACTGCATTAAGTTCCTCCAGAGCGTTTCACCCTGTCTATCAGGTCCGTGAGAAACAATCTAAACAAATGGAATATTCCGTCCTGGCCATAACGGAAGCAGTGTAAATTTACCCCCATTCCCATTCTCTTGTGTACATATAAGCACTTTGTGAGGACTTTGTGTCTAACGTGGCCATGTGCCCACTCTATCGTGGCGCATTTTTTCGGATGGTTACTAAATTCAGGCTGGACACCGAACCGGAATCATCAGACATTATCTAATTTTCCTGAGTGTTTCGCTTTTTTTCTATGTAACTGCAGCCCGCTCTCTTGTAAATCAGTTTGAAATGACGATCATAGAAAAGTAACTGAAAACGGGTTATTTTCCATAACTTGTATTATTTACCTTTGAGGCATAATAACTGGCATTACTTCTATTGAAATGACTGTTTTGCGAGTCCTCCATGCAGGACGAGGTAAGGGTATATCAGTCGATTGTGTTGTATTCAAAACTTTTCATCTGTTTATGTATTATTAGAATAATAGATTATACGGTTCTTTTAGTAAACCTGAAAGAAGAAAATGGCTATTCCCCCAAACTAATCAATCTGAAAACGTCACATATCGAAGTATTTCGGTTTTGAAGAATGACTGTGATATACGCATCTGGATATGAAACCATGCTGCTCCACTGTTTTAGAGGTTCAAAGCTGGTAAATTTAGTAGAATGTACATGCGATTTCAAGTGACTAAGCTCAAGCCTTCTGGATCATTTATGCAACCTACACTCATTAGACACATTAACAAGTGAATAGCTTCCTGTCCGACATTTGCCACTGGTCATAACGTAATGGGTGATTCACATTTGATGAAGAGACCTACCAACAAGCGTCAATCGAAGTGATGAGAAAATTGCTCGGTTACTCTGACGATGACTTTGGGGAGGGAGTTAAATAGTTGAGCCTAACCTGACCTATCCACTAAGGCCTAGGACTTAATTTCAGATGGTGGGTAATTTATTTGTTTGCTAACCCAATGCAAAATCTACTGTTATTTATTCTTTGCAAATTTAATCAGAATGTCTCAGACCAGAGCCTGTGGAATCCTTTAATCATGGAGAAACGCCTTATCGCTCCTCATAATGTGATGTTTGAAAGGAAATTCATTGTGTTGCAGATAACCAGTTAACTCACATGAGAAACACCATGCTTAGAGCAACCATTTCTTGGTGTACTTAGATAATAAGATTGTTTTCTAAGGCGCATAACAAGGAAGCAAAACAAGTGAGTATCTATCAGACGGTAGCTCAGTGCGACCGTCAGATGAACATCAGTCTAGTGTCGCACTTCAAGTAAGCTGCTGATGTCACGACGATACATGTTTACCTAATTTTTTTCATCTTTGGCGTCCTGAAAAATTGGCTTCATGGAGAAACTTCTGATGAATATAGGGAACAGGACACAAAGTATAATCCTTAGCATCGTTCGGCTTTTTTTCTTGTGGAACACCTCCCTAAGCCGTTTCAGACAAGTGATATATGTAGGGCAAAAATAACGATGAGATCATTCGGTGATGGATCGTATTCGCACAAGCCACAATGTTTTCGAAGGGCAGTCGTTTTTTTGTTGTTGCTGAGATGGAATGCTAGGCGAAAACCTAGATATTTATTACTGAGCCGAGTAGTGCCTTAGGCTAACGGGAACATTGCGCCAGGCGGATGCACAACTAGGAACATACGGTACTTGAGTTAAGCTACTCGTTTGAGCTTTCATTTTTGCCGCAAACCAATAAGCGAAAACTAGGCTCAAGATCGGTCCTATGGCGATGCAATCCTTTTAAACATATGCGTTAAAAGCTGCAAGTTAGGCGTAGTGGTCTACCTAGTTTCAGCTTAGTTTGCATTCTGAGGAAATGCGCATCTTGGTGTAGGTGTTTATGTTCGTGTAAACAGGACAAACGGTTATTAAGTACCTGTTTTCAAACGGTCAGAATGCTTCGAACTTCAAAATATGACAGTACTGGTGTTGACCAAACTCGTGAAACATCACCCTCATTTTGAAAACCCATTTCAGCTAGCAATAGCATACTTATATATAGATGGTTATGGGCACAGTGTATTTATTCCTGACTTTATCTCCAACATCTACTTTTTTAGTTCATTTCTATCACCACTTGAATGTGCGCGACCGTGAGCGTCGCTATAAAATTTGCAGTAGTTCGAAAGTTACAGCTCTGATTTAGAAAATATTTTGGGCAAAGAAGCATGGGTGTTCATTCTTATTAATAGATGATTCGTGTCCTATGAGAGTTTCTATTAGGTTGAGCACACGCATTCTAAATTTCTATTCTCTTTTCATTCAGTGCACAGTAAATAAGCAAATTTTTGAAAACATTCTAACTTTAATAAATTGCTAAATTATTAGGCTACAAACTACTCACGCATTATCTTCAATACTGGAAGAACTGAAAACATAGTCCAAGAAAGAGACAAGTTGATCTTCGAAAGTTGACCTTCAGATGTGCGGCTCGTTGAATAAGCGTCCTGTAGTGTCACCATGCCCAAACCGGATAAAACTTGCAAAATG